ACCACCCACTGGGGTGTGTATTAGCATAGCATTTGGGCCTTCTGCCTTTGCATGGCAGAGCTGGGTCCTACCAATTATCTGAGGAGTTCAAATAATATTCTCAGGATCAAATATAGCATTTGTGATCCCAAACTGACCACAAAAGACCATGGAGAGACAGATGATGAGGGATGCAAGTTTCTATCCCATTCAATGTCAGTGACCCAAATAGCATTGCAAGCATAACATTTGAGTGCATGGCCGGAGTTATGTATGTCTTATACCTACTGGTAATTTACACAGATGAGTTCAGAAAATGTGCTTAAAGGATACATAAAATGGGCTTAGAAATTTAGCTTAACCTCACTGACATCAGCACATGTCAATGATGTGGATGTTGATGTTGACACAGTTTGCAAGTGGTGTATATACATACATAATGCAATATATAAACCATTTGCATTGCAACGCAACAAAGACTACCCATCTGCACATTGTGCATGCAGGGGGAGATGGTTTCAATGGAGCATCTAGAGGCCCTTGGTCCTCTATTTGCTTCATACCTCTGGCTCAATTTCAGGTCAAATGGACATCACTTTTTGGGATGTTGCACCTAAAACAGTCCACACAGGGGAAAGGCAGGTGCCAAGAATTATGAGTGTGCAACAAGGGGGAAGGAATGTTGAAAAAGGCCAAAAATTGCATCATAATTTATAGATTGTCTGGTTTTCCAACATCACTACTACCATATTGTACATTTCCAACACCATTCCCTACCAGCACTGGTATATTTGAACTCAGAGCTCAAAAGAAAAACAAAAACTAATAACTTGTTTCACAGCACATTCTGTTATGTCCAATATCCTGCTTGGTGAAACCAAGCCTGCAATATATTTTTTAACAAAGTGCACAGCATTACAAATATACTCATCAAAAGTGAGCATGATATATTTTGTCATGGAATTATCATGGTAAACTAAAATATCCTGGGACATATTTCAACATAAATAATAACTTGGAAATCCAGCACAATCTGACTATATCTGGGTTTTGCACACACAAAGCCAAGGTTATGTGTACCAACATCATGTAGGCATTTGGTAAGGTGGATTATTTTTCTCATGTTGGTGCGCAGTCACCATACATTCCAGTTAGCATATGTATGCTTACATGGATCACATGGATAATTATGCTGTGCATGATTTCATGCAGATGGAGTCACTGAAAATGTCAGCCAACATGAATGATGAGCTATCAAATAACTGGGTTCTAAAAAAATTGAGCCAGCATGTCTCCATAACAACTAAAAGTTGGGAAACAGAGGTTCCAATAACAGGGTGAGTGATTCAGTCAGACCCCCTGATGAAGATGGCCAAGTCTTTTATTTCCTTCTTTGAATGAGCACAGCAAAGCATGACAAAACTAAGGGGCTGTGATTGGCAGAATGGGAAGTTAATATCTTCTATGCAGCCTTATCCTCATTTGGGGCAGCATCCATAATCTTAACTGTTTTCAATAACAATGCTAAGAACCAACGGGCCAACTTTTAAGACCTGGGCACAAGCATGGTGTATTACGATTTTCATCACTTGATACGCATAGTTTTTTTAGATATTCAAAAGGATTGTACGCCAACGGCGGGTCTCGACTACAAGTAAGAGAACTGGGAGGGGCACCAGCCAACACACGTATTTAGATAGATAGAGCACCCAAACTGCGCCTGGGCAAAAACACGCACACCGGACCCCCACCCGGTCATAGAGCGGTGGTCACTACTCCGCCCACCGCCGCCCGGACACGGGCCCCTATCGCTCAATAACGCATACAAACGCAGGCCCTGTAGCTCATAGGCGCAGACGCACACACACACAAACACAAACCTGACAGCGCTAAGATCGGTATTAGTGCGGCATGAATGCCGGTCTGGGGGTGAATACTTCAGAGGTGCAAACCCAGCGAACTTTGCGCCAGCCACCGGAGTGCGGCTTACAGGGCATTATCAATGCAGGACACAGGGGCTTAGCTTTGCAGAACCATGGTTTTCAAATATGTTTTCAGAGGAAGCGGACATGGTAAACCGTGCTTTAAAATACACAACGGATTTCTCCCCGGATGACACACCTTTTTATAGTCGGGGACGATGCCCGAGCCGCCCCAGCTGAAGACTTACAGTTGGTACCCTGTTCAACCGTGGTACGTCAACCCACCGCTTCTTGTACCCATACATGCGTGTGATGTATACCGTCATGCGGTGTTTGGGGCAATGCCGTGCCTCATCATTTTGCTATTCCATCTCGATCCATCTGCATAACGCGAATGTTTCAACTATCGGAGACGTACGTGCGTAGCCCCAACAGCAGAGCAACCAGGAAGCCATCGCCCCGCCTCGTGAGTGCCCCTATGAGGATACATGGGGGTACATGGGAATAATCGACTTCAAAATTGACGCGCCCTCCCTCTGGGACGTCTACATACCTGTGGAACTGTGCGCGATGCGTACTTTATGCTGTGCTTTCGGCGGCGTTATCGCCTAAGCCTTAGACAAGACGTGAGGCCCAAAAGCGCAAATGAACGAGCGAACAAACGAAACGAAACGAACTAGACTGAACAACGGGTTGGCAGCGCAGACACAGAGGAACCACCAAGAAATGGGGGGACAAATCTGAATTTGTTTGCAGCGTGCAGCACCACGTGCTAAAGCAAAAATTGGCCAACAATGGAATAAACGCGTGCTGCGTCCACTCTGGCGAACTTCCCGTCTTTACAACGGGCAGATCATGAGCTTGTGCGGGAATGACCCAATTATATTACAGATGCTGGATCAGGAAGCACCACCCCACTGGGGCAGGCCTGAGGAGGGGTTCGTGGCGCAACTATAGCTGCTCCTGGTACACATGAGCTGCCCGACAAGGTATGTTCGTTCTACCAGGGACAGGGCCTGTGCAGACCTCTGCCATCAGCAGTTATGCAATTTCACAAACGAAAAATGGCTTCACGGCGTGCTCATTCCACCGTTTAGCAAAATGCAGACACTACCTCGCCAGCAGGTATAGCACGAGAACGTCAAAACGCATCACGACCTTCCCAGATTTCAGTATGTTGCAATAAAACGTCATAAGACGAGAGCACCAAACAACAACAAGACATACAACACGGTAACAACATCGGCATTCGGCACAGGAGCAGAACGATGCTGGCACGTCAGCCCGGCAAAACGACCTAATGGACTCTTTGGCATTCGTGTCGCGTCGCCACAGATCTCGGACATTGCTCACGTCTGGCAACCACTCGGTGGCGTAACATGGAGCCGCACGCCTGGCAACACACGTCAGCCTGCCTGCGACACCCAGATTCAACACAAGAACAGTGCGTGCTACACTTGAAAACTGGCCCGTGTGCGTGCTGCGGTCGAGGCGGGACGCCAGGCCCTCGTGACAGTGCATACCCAAGCTCCTCTACCAGCTAAGCGAGCAAGTAGTTCCGGAAGACGGCGAGTTTGAGGCCTGTGGCGCCAGAGCCGGTGCCGACGCCCGGCGGCGGGCAGGCGGTCCCCGGCCGTCGCGATCGGCAGCAGACGCGCTGTGACGTCCCGCCGCCGCGGTCCGTGGACCCCCGCACACCACGACACAGACGCGGCGCACACCCAACGGCACCCACGGACACAGCGGTGAAGCACACACAACGACCGAACGGAATTACGCAAGAACTGGGCCGGACCCGGTCCGAAACAAAGGTTCATTTTCGGTCGTAAGTCCACAAGGCCACAGCCCTGCTTTTACGCTACATAGCGTAAGCCTTCCATAAGGCTTCCCAAATGAAGCTCGCTGCAAGCTGGGACAAAACCAGCGCCCATTCAACACCAGATCGTAGCAAACTCCTTGAGCCAAAGCGCGCCATTATTGAGTACAGGGGGAACGTGATCAATGCACGGGGTAACGGCCACCATGCGAGTGGACACGAAATTCCCATCTCGACGAGGTCTTCCATCTTCAAACATACGACGAATAACACGAAAATGAATCAAACAAATGCGTGCACACTAATGTACAAAACGAGCGAAAAAGTCGTGACAAGTTATTCGTAAGTAAGAACGTCACTGATGCGCGGTCGAACCTGCGAAGTGGTCGCCCACCCGTACAAAGGAGCAAACGAAATAAAACCGAAATATGCGCTGTCAGCGAAGCTTTGGTGAAACCACTTCCAAAAATGAGCCAGACAGTCATGGCATGGGATCTTCCTCATCTGACCAACTCAACAGTCACTGATGACAGCACATCCCTTGCGTGCAGCCCTTCCCCGGTAAGTGTTTGTATCGCAGCGGGAGCTGTACAGGATTCCTTACAATGTGCGGAAAGCAAATGCCTTTTAAGGTGTACCATGATAAGTACAGTCAAAAGTCAAACCGTTAATACCGAAACTTAATAAAAAACTGACCACAACACCTGACACTATCAATGACTCCCAGCACTCGCTATCATCGCAGATAAGTGATCGCCCACTCTACACTATCCCCTACTGACCAGCGAATCGGCAAGGAAAATACTGATCAACCGTTTCGGTGCAGCCAGCGGGACTTGGACGCCTTGCCCCGGACCCCGGCTTGGGACGCGGAACGCTGATGAGAGCTATGACTAGGATGTTGAAGTCACCCAGTGACCGCACACTGTGTCCCACTACCGCTCGATTCTCCACGCAGCCTAGCCGACTGTATGTCAAATGTAGCAAAGTAACCTGAAAAGCACTTCAACACCCGGATATAAAGGTTCCACGAGCTGCGACGGCGCAGCCTCTTGAGGCCAGCTGCTTCGGACCAGCGTTTTGCCCCGTCAACGCCGCCTAGCACTTACGTAATTGTCCATAAATACGCCCCCGCTCGTGCGCATGCAGGAGATCAAAGCGGCACCCCGGGCGGCGCGGCCGCGACGGTCCAGGTACAGTGGGGGCCACCGCGGGCGGCACGACCGGCCCGGCATCGCACCCGCACCGAGCCGCGGCCGCCCGCGGCGGCGGCGGCGGCGCGGCTAGGTGCTGATGACCGAGTTGTGCCGGGAGAGGCCCGGCTCGACGATGGTCGAGTTGTGGCGCGTCTTGCGCCGACACTCGGCCTCCTCCTCCGGATCGACGCGGCTGACGGCCATCGAGAGCGCGGCCGTCTTGTCGAAGTCGATGGTGGCGTACCCCTGGCCGGGCCGCGCGGTGACGGCAGCCGCCGCCGCCGCCGCCGCCGTCGCCGGCTCGGCGCGCCCGGCCGCCTGCAGGTCGAGCACGGCGTAGTTCACGAGGCGCGCGGCGCCACTCCCGGCCGCAATGTTCACGTAGCACCGCTCGGCGTCCTCGGCACTGGCGACGCCCGCCTCGGGCAGCACGTTCACGTACAGGTGGCGCCGCTCGGCCTCCTCCGCCGACTGGTAGTTGGTGTTGATGTCGCACGGCACCGTGTTCAGGTACGAGTGCGCTGGCTTGGACTTACGCTGCGCCGGCACCGGCGGCTGCTTGGCCGGCTCGGCGTCGGGCGGCGGCGCGGCGGCCTCCTCCGACCACACCTCCTCGTTGACGTACACGGCCTGGTCCGAGCCGTCTGCCGAGAAACACCAAGACGGGTCAGAACGGGGACCGGACGCGTTGCGATCCGTGGCATGGCTTACAGATGACAAGTACACAGTTAAAAAATTACGAGTTGCATCTTCGTTAGCATGACATACGTGGAATACATCAATACGACGCACACTGTTAATAGCATGTGAAAGCACCAAACACGAAAAGCGCCACCCCACCCCCACAAAAAAATCAGTTATGACCGTAAACCGGCCTAAGTGATCGCAGCAAACCCAAGCGAGCGGAAAGCCTGCGGGTTGTGTTTTTGTCATGCTCCTTCATTTCGTCACCGGAATCCAGAAATTGCCACGCACAGTCGAATTCCTCTACCCTTTACAGCTAATAATACTACTACTTCCATATCCGTGCTCTGAGCCCTGCGTATTCGTATTGCATGACCTTGTTGGGTGCCTCCCGGCCCCGTCAGTCATCCGTTGGTTTATATGTAATCCAGCCGCGGCACATGAGCGCTCCCAAACTGCGCTAATACAAAGACCTGTTCTTCACAAAGAAAGCTTCGACAGCACAGCATATGATGCGCAAAGACACAGTCGCGCACACTCCTTCCTACACAGGCACGCACATGCCTTCCGAGACAACCGCGCACGTTCCTTCCGACACAGCCGCGCACGTTCCTTCCCACACATTCGCGCACACCCCTTACACAGTCGCGCACATTCCTTCCCACACAGTCGCGCACACTCCTTCCTACACAGGCGCGCACACTCCTTCCCACACAGTCGCGCACACCACCCCCTGTACAGCCGCACACAATTCCTTCTACACCAACACACACACTCCTTCCTACATCGCCGCACACACTCCTTCTTACACCGCCGCACACACTCCTTCCTACATCGCCGCACACACTCCTGCCCACACAGTCGCGCAGACCACCCCCTATACAGCCGCACAGCCTCCTCCCTACACCGTCGCACACACTCCTTCCCACACAGTCGCGCACAACATCCCTACACCGCCGCACACACTCCTTCCTACACCGCCGCACACACTCCTTCCCACACCGCCGCACACACTCCTTCCTACATCGCCGCGCACACGCCTTATGATTCACAGACGATGTCAGCGGTCGACATCCCTTTCATTCCTTTGTCCACACACCGGCGGTGCAGAGTGGCCGGAAGTAAGCCCCTCTGACCTACCGGCGGTCCGCCCCACCCCTGCCAGTGGTCCGCCCTATCCCTGCCGGCGGTCCGCACCACCCCTGTCGGCAGCCTGTCCGCCCCTGCCGGTGGTCCGCACCACCCCCGCCAGTGGTCCGCCTTATCCCTGCCGGCGGTCCGCACCACTCCTGCCGGCAGCCCGTCCCAGCCCTGCCAGCGGTCGGCACCATCCCTGTCAGCAGCTCGCCCCACCCCTGCCGGCGGTCCGCACCACCGCTGCCGGCGGTCGGCCTCGTCTCACCTGCCGGTCCGTGCCAGGCCTCCAGGGCGGCCACGTCGCCGTTGGCCGCCGCCGTGACGTCCCCGTGCGCGGGCGTCTGGCGGCCCTCGTCCGCCGGGTTCTGGATGCACGTCTGCCGCCCCAGGGGGTGGTGTCACACTCGCACCCCAGTCCCGGCAGGGCGACAGAAGCGCACGGACATGCCGGCGCGCACATACACACACACAGACAGCTCAGCGATCAGCTGTCTCGCGACACCTTACACCCACGACTCAGTTGTAAGTTCATCGTTTACTTATCAGCACTAACATGCGTATCGGAACAAATGTGCAGTTCATGTTTCAAGTTGTAACGTTCAATGTTTCCTTCGTAACTGTCGCCAGTTCCACGTAACTTAAATGGCGGGATATCGGCATAGGGGGCACCGTGAACGGCAAGAGCGGACGCAGCAGGTTCGGGAAATACATCGACGATGGCTCAATTCCCACCAAGCGCGCCGTATATCCTAGCCCAGAAGTTGGGAACTTCAACGCTGTACAACACGTCATGGTGCCGCATACCGTTACGAATCCTCCGAACTAGTCCCCTACCGGACTACGGCACAATTATCCATTCATCATTCAGCCGGTGTGTGTAAAATCCTTTCAGCACTTGACCCCCAAGTGGACTATATACTCCCGCGCCTCACTGACCTGCAGCAGCTGGAACAGGGCCTCGGCGCGCTCACACTTGAAGGCGTACACGCCGGCGCCGGTGGGGGCGCGTCGGCCCAGCTCGAAGCTGAACACGCCCTCCGAGTAGCCGTACCGCTTCAGACAGCGGATGGGCCATCGGACGCCCGAGCGGCCTGCGCGCACAGGTCAGACGGTGACCGCATGTCAGCCGGGGTCACAGGTCAGACGGCGCAGTGGTCAGGACACACGGGTTGGACAAAGACCGTAGGTCAGAAGCGGCCGTGGCTCAGACAGCTCGGGTCAGATGGCGTGCCAGACGCAGGCCTGGGCAACGGTCGTGGCTCAGACGTGACCTCGGATCACTAGCCACGAACCTGAAAACGACACGTTCACGTGCGGGCAGCTCGCGGAACCGCGTCACGCGCCAGCAGTGTGACGTGTCACGTCACGGCCGGCGTTACAAACAGACCGCCAAATGCCTCCGCCTCCACCAGCGGCGGACGGCTGATCGCATATTTAACACCTGGGCATGCATCTCCCCAGCAGGCAGGCATTCTATGGCACACGCCCGAAAGGCAGCGGACACCTACCTCTTTGGTGGAGAATAATGTCCCGATCTGTGATCTCCAGTTTGGCCGGTCGCAGCTCCTGACCAAGGTCGTCGATGTTGACCACTTGGAAGATGTTTGGGTGACGGTCATTGATGTCCGCCTTGCTGGACATGCATCCCATGTCCCCCAGCAGTGGTCAAGAGGTGCGTGTCAAGGTCATTGGTAACCATTGCTCAGGACACACATCTTGCACATCCCTGCAAAACATAAGGTCAAGGATTAACGACTTGAGCTATGTTTCTGGGGCGTCATGGACTTGTGGAATATTTCAGATATCTACTTGTTTCATTTTTAAAAAAATGACCGGATAATACGCACATGCTATCGACGGAATTGTCTCTCTCATTTTGTCACTGATATTTGGATGTTGCTCCCTAAATAATTGCACTTTTCATGTGTTGCATAGTTCTGATTTGGCATGCAGATGACACATATGCATGCCTTCCAGCATGTGCATGACTCCCCAGCCCTCCTATCCCAAAAACCTCAGTCCCTATAATGGATGAGTTCCACTCTACAGCCAGGGATCAAAATAAATTTGTCATCATGTTCAACAGCATTGAGATTCTTGCCCTGTCTCACCTCATTCCCCCTGCCATGGCCTGGTGGGAGCTCACTATGTTATGCTGCCTTAATATATTCTAATGATTTGATGTGATTAGCCATGCGAAGTTGTCCTCAGCTCCAGAACCATTCTATTAACCAAACTTGTTCCCTTTTTACCATAGTAGGCCATGTTCGACTTATGTCCAACAGACTTGGTAACTGATAGGTAGTTAACACCTTTCCATAGATGTACCCAATCCCATCCTAACATTCCCATCCAATCATAACATTTTAATGGCTTCACTCAGCCTGCTCCTCTTACAAACCATCATTAATGATCTGTCCCTCTATCAACCTGAAGCCCATGTCATAAATGTGCTGACAGTCCTCATATTTGATTTCTAGGGAAAACCTTCCACAGCTCACTCTACTACAGAAGAGGTTCCAGTCTCTCTGTGAACCTCACCTTAATTGTCATGGCACATGGTTTATTTCCATGTGGTCTTACTACTATTTGTGCACAAAAAGCCTATGGTAGATAATGTCAACTTTGGCATCCTTATACCTGCCATGTGAGTCATTGCTTTTGAGTGGAGAGTCATATAATGACCCAGCCCCTGTTATGCACCTTGCACAGCCCATCCTCCCATAGGTCTACATCTGCCCAGGAGCCACTGGTAATGATTTGGAGAAAACACAGCATGCCACCAAAAATAACAAATTTTAGAATGCATACCACTGTAGCCTGTTGACATTGGTAGTAGCATACTCATTTCATGTATGATGTAACTTGATGTATTCATAAATGCAGTGCTGTTCCATGCATCTTGTCAGGTTACTTTCAAACATTTAAGTTAAGTGTAGCAGCACAAGGCATAGAGTTTCATTCTGCTTCACAAGAACTGATTCAAAAAATACATTCACCACATTCCATTCATGTGCACCTGCATCTATTTGACATGATTCACAAAAAGGCCACTCCTGAAATTATGAGACCCAATTTCACAAAAACCAGTTTCAGTGACTCATGTTCAAAGTTTAATGCACACCTTTGTATATACTGTATGCAAGTTAAGTAGATATGCATGCTAGGAGTGGTCATGGGTGTGGGACCATGCTGCAAGTACAGGATATTATTATGTAGCAGTGGTTTTATACTGCTTTTAACCCAGTCCTAGCATAAGAAAGAAATCCCAACACCAGTAAGATTAGTAAGCCAGCAATGCAAAATCTTCTTACTCCATACTGCAGCTTTCCAGATCCAAAATAAAACCTGAGTAATTTAAGTAAATATTATCATTTTTTACTTAGAAATCACACATGATATGCCTTCAAAGAGGTATATAATGATGGTAATGCATAATGATGGTAATGCTACCACAGACTATCCAATCATAGAGTTCACACCCAAACTTCATACAACTCTTGCATGCCTCTCAGAAACCTATAAAAAGCTCACTGGTTTACAAAATTGATACACTGCACCATGTACCTACAGGACATTGGTACCCTGAACCCGACTTCAATGAGCCAACTCAGTGCCGGGTCAAATTGCAATGATTCTGCAAATTTATGGTGACCATTTGGCAAACCCTGGGCACCTAGATCTATGGAAACATGTGCTAAAATTGTCCCAGTAATGTTGCAGTTAAGCTAAATATCTCTAACACACCATGCATGTTTTCCATTTTAGGCTACTGAGACTGATCAGCAATAATTATCTTACATTGATGCAAAAAGGGCAGCGATTGAAGCTTCTAGTGCACATGCCTAACTAAAACATGTCATAAGGCAACACAAGACAGAGCAAGGTATCACTAAATGGGTGTGACGCCCGTAAAAGTTGTATGTATTTCAGTGCATATAATTGTTTTCGTCCACCGGACCAAGTTTTTGCAAAACAGAATTGTTAACGCACGGTAGCAGCACAAGGAGACTTATTTTAAATCAAATCCCGAGGGGAAGCAACACGCACCTACTACATTCACCTGACAGCTGACAAGTGACAATAACCCACTCCCAACAAAGATGACCCTGATCTCACTTGATCTCAGCCTGCGCATTACGAAATCGGCGACGAACCGCAGCCGAAAGCGACAGCAGTCGCAGTAGTAACAAGGAGGTGGCACAAATATTGTAAGGTCGTGTGTGTCTTAAATGACAACGACCTAAAGCCATTCCAAATACCAAAAACGCATTTTTCCGTTTAACAAGACCTTCATTCTGCAACATATCAAAACTAGCTCAAATACAGCAGTAAACTGGGACAAGTACTATTTCATGTAAAGCCCGCATCAATGCTACGGTGTAAAATACTATCCCTTTAATATGCCCTTGGAAAGAATATCGAGCTTTTGTTTTTTGATGCATTTGGTTTTTGTTTTGGCAGCAGAATATTTGGAATACATTCATGGCGCAGGTTCAATTGCTAGCTGACATACTTGAGGCCTCTGAAAGCCGTATCAGGCTGCCGGGTAGTATGAGGAGGTGGCACTGTGGACGACGATTGGGAGTGGGGTAATAATTGGAGATGCGGTGCCCTGTATCTTGAGGACCTGTGCCCTATTAACCGGCAGATGAAGATTCGAAGCGGGGTAGTGAGAGCAGGATAGCTAAGGTTTGAAGTGTATGGCAACAGGGAGAGGGTCTGGGAACGGTTGCTTTTAGGTTGTCACGCGTACTTGGTTTTATTGCCCTTTGAAGTGTCAGGTTTCATTGCCATTTGCGCACATTTTTCCAGCACGATTTATCATTTTGAGTTATGCAGTTATATTTTATGAGGTGTGACATCTGTGACACCCATTCTTGGGATTCTGAGCAATCTGGAGCCTTGAGACCAATCAGGTGGGTACAACAGGTACAACTCAGTGTCATGCCCAAGGGCACTGTGATGAAAAGAACCCTCACTGTCTGCATTGTGAGCACAAGCTCACAGCTGCTCATGATGAGCTGCTGACAGTGATTTGCCTGGTATAAACATGTTTTTCTTTTGGATCTTATCTTGCAAATAAATGCAAAAATATGAACTGCTGATACTGGAAGCAAGGTTAAAAACAAACTATTAGTAGAAGTTACTTTTTATAGAAAATTTTCATCCCATTGAGGGTTTATGGCTACCAGGAGAGGCAATAGCACTGACAAGCTTAAGAAATGTTCTTGGTGTTCTCTTGCAGACCTTGGTGACCAGCACATTGCCAACATGCCTGGGGAAGACAACAATAGTGTGCCACAGAATGACAAGTCAGCAGTCATTCATGAAGTGTCTGACTTTGACTGGAGAGTAAAGGTGGGCAGCTAACCATATTTATGTGGTGGTTATCAGCTCTTGATGCCTGTTTACCTACCTCCCAACCTGAAAATTAGTTATAATGGTATGATGCTCATATTTTCCCATGTTTAGGAAACCAGAGTTTGGGTGCGTTTTCTAATGGCATCATCGGCTCATCGTTCATTTGTGAAATGGTGCTGATACATGCAAATAATTCCAGGTTATACTGGCTTCCAGCTCAGCTGGTATGATGTATGAGCCCTCACCTCTGTGAATTTCAAGACAGCAGGGGGTGAAGACATTACTTTGGAGCTGAATAAGAAACAACTGGATGAGATGATTGAAGCTATGGATGCTGCAATCAAGGCTGCTTCTGAACTGCAGTGATGACATTTAGCATTGTGATCAGCATCTACAATTCATGTGTACAGTGTGATATTGTTGGTAGTACTCTTTGGCTATCTGTGTTTGCTAAGATACAACTAATGTTGGCTTCTGGTTTGACTGCATATAATGCATACTGGTATAGTTATGGTAATTACATACACAAAAAAGTGTGGGAGCATTGGGACCATGTCCATGACTATGCTACAGTTTTACAATATTGCATGTGTCTACTGCTGTGATAAACTGTAGGTGTTTGTGCCAATGAAAGGTTGAAATATCAATTATTGTTGAAATCAGTCTGATCACAGGTGCAGCAGTAAGTGAACATTATCTCAGACACAATGCAGAGAAGGGCAGGCAAAGTATGGGTCAGTGAGTCTGTTTTAGCATTGAGCAGAAAATATTTTGGACCATAAGGGCCAGTCCTGCCTATATTGAGTGAGAATGTTTGCAGGTGGCCTGGATCTTTGCAGTCATGGCTTATGCTGCTGTGCAGTTCTCAGCAATTAACATTCCACTAGCACTATTCTGTAATGGAATTGTGACAAGGCATTGTGGAGTAGAATGCATAGAAATTATCATTCAGCTTGCTCTTTTCACTTAAGCATTTGGATAGCTTATCAAATTTGTTGAGATATTTTCAAGTCACTTGTGTCATGTGTTGAGCAGACATTGCAACATTACTGAAGTTTCATGTCTCCATTTGACTAATGCTGAAAGCTGAAATTTACCAATGGCAAGAAAGGCGAAGGAAATGGAAGAAAACTTGACAACAGGGATCGCTACCCATGACCAACACCTGACTGACCTGAGAGATGGAAATTGTGCGGAAAAAGGGGTCAGTGTGTGTGACCGGCGATGTGTCACCGAGCTCGAATCCTCTGCTCCTGGAAGTTTCCGAGGATTGATGGTAAATCTCGGCAGCCACGGAAGACCATGAACTAGGTGGTGTCTGTGAATGTAACGTCTGCGAACGTTGCGCTTGGTCAGTCCAGTCTGACCCACACCAACGCCGGAAGCCGGGCGCCGAGGCGGGCCTGGTGTCGCTGACCTGGGCCCCGGCCTAGAATATGGTACGCTGGGCCCAAACCGTGTGAGTCTTGACAGTGAACGGCATGCAGGCGTGTAACACCCAGCTCACCCAGCCCAGCTCAGACCAACATCCTATGTCTCCCATATCTAACTTTGGACGTGAACTGTACCTATGAGTCAATGTACTTGCATCAGGAACTTGTGTATGATGGGCAAAGAGTTACGGCTAACTAGTTGCAAGGTTAAATGTATGCCTCATGTATCGGTAAGAATGTTGTATTTGCACGGAGTCTTTGTGTCATCACGTGAATACTGCTTCACATGTCACCTCGCTAGTCCCACGCCGCCACTTGCGGCGTGGCCTAGCGTACTGTTACACGTTGGTAGACACACGTCAGATCTACAATCCGAAAGCGAGCATTCATATGTGTATTTTCAAGATACTGGTGGCATTGCAATTTGACATTAAAAAAAATGAACAGCACACAAGATTTGAATCCCCACTCCTCGTCAAACATGCCAACGCCCAAGTTTCTCGTAAGTTGATTTCCAAGCTAATGCATGAAATCAAATTGGTCAGCATGAGACGGCGAAACACATAGCTTAGCGGCAACTTGTGGCTGCGCACGTCAAGAGCTTGCAGCTTTTCACGCATACACACAGGCGCCAAAACCAGTGTTACACCGTGCAACACAAACAATAAAACAGTTGCACCCTCACTTCACCCCGCACCCCTACGTGTCGGAGTGTGAGATCACGAGCCACGATATCACGAAGTAGAAGAGGAAGATGGGATAGACTCCCAGAGCCTTGCGGGACGCGGGCTGGCTGTCTCCCAAGAACTTGACGGACGCTGAAACAACGCCGCGCGAAGTTCAGACACGCATCCAAACCGAATGAGTTTACATTCATTATCAATCTTCTATGCCCCGATAGTGCGAGTCTACGAGTCCCTGGTACCATTTGTTACCTTCGCCTTTATCGTTATTTTTTGTTACATTTACCTTTATTGTTATATTGTTATCCTCGCATCTGTTATCGTTACGTACCTTTAGGTCCGTAATGTTTCACATTACGGACACACGTCAACAGTTTCACGACAAAGTGGAAAGACAATGCCTGCAACCAATGTGCAAGCTGCTTCTATACATGGGCACTAAGTGACCTCTGATATATATGTACTATATATATATATATATATATATATATATATATATATATATATACACCTAAAACGGATGCTTAAACGATACTGAATCTCTGCCCGAACTGCGCGCATGCCGCTAAGACCGACCAGAACGCTTACGATCAGTTCAGAACACGCTCGAAATGTCGGTAGATGCACGACGGCTTGCACGGCGACGACCATGAATGGTGCCGCTTGCAACGTTTCATGCCGCGGACGACGGCAACGCAGCCTGAGCCCGGCAGATTTACCATGAAAACAAAATCATAGCAAGGTACTTTTAGTTTTCTAGTGGCATGAATTGCTTTCGTCTGCCATAACGTGCCTGGGATTGCAACAGGTCGTGAGGACTCACCATATGTGGCCCAGCCAAAGCCGACGCACGTGAAGAGCAGGCGGAGCACGAACAGCGCTGTCGTCTGCGGGAACAGCAGCACCAGCCAGCACAGCAGCAGTGCCACGATGGTGGGGAACAGGCAGTAGCCCAGCACGCACACGCTCTGGAAGAAAGAACTGCCGCCCAGGAACAGTCAGGCAACCGGCATTAACACGCTGGGCGCTGTTCAGCAGGTAATAGCAGCCAGACCGAAGAGTTCAAAAGAGAAGGAAGGGGCCAGTCTTTTTTCCAGACGTGTTCGGAACAATTTTGACCAGTTTGGAGGGCAGCGATGAAAGTTTGGGTACCTGAGCTAGCGCACGTTTTCCACAGATGAAATTTGAAATTCCTGAATTCGACGGATCAATAATTGTGATCTCTTTCTCGAGGTGACATAGGTGACAAATTTCTAAAAAAAGACAACCCTTATTCTGACAGAAAATGTCCTATATGCCGGGTTTCAAGACTCCTCTTCCGATTTATACCACAATGAAGTGTATTACTGTCGTTCTGTTTACCAATGGTCATGTTATCTAAGGTCCAAATAGGCCAAACCAAAGCCTTTGTGACCAGATTTGATCCTTTCAGGGTCGCACGATTTAAACCTTGATAGAATATATCACGGCTTTGGAAGTGAAATGCATCACTTGTGCGATTCTCCCTTTGATTTCAAATTACTGGTTATGTGCAGCCAGCAAAACCAATCCAGGAAGCCAAATAACATTGCACGATGGTTTCATAACGCATAATTTTCCAAGTAATTATGATAACAATTGTTGGTGTATCATGCAAAACCAGCATGGATGGAGACAGTATTGCATTCATCTCAGATGCGCTTTAGATGCGAAACATCCACGGTAAATATGAAACAAATGTGAGCCAGATTAACCTTAACGTGGCTCTAGAAAAAAGCAGTGTTTTTGCCACAAAGCAGGGTCACCACGGTTCAGCCGGGCCACGCGACGTCATGGGTTACGTACCGAACCTAACACGGGTCGTTGGGCTCGCGTGGGGCACGCGGCCCGGGGCAACCGGGAGTCCGGCGCGCACAACGTGTGCTTGTGATGAGCAGATCCAAGAAGAAAACACCATCCAAGAGGCGATTACTTAAACAAACGACACTGAGACACCCATGACGTGGCAACCAGCACCGCCTGAACCAAGCAGTGCTTTGACGTGAGGATGACACGAGGATTAGGCACGTCGCTACAGCATCACAACAACCAGTACCGCCTGATCCAAGCGGTGCTATAACGTGAGGATGACACGAGGTTTACGCACGTCGCTACAGCATCACCAGGTTCCCTTCGCGGTCCATGGAAGCCTGTTGGCCGGCCAGAGCGGAACTCACATGGATCCGCCCAGCAGCTTGGTGTTGAGCGTGACCACGGCCGAGCCGATCCAGATGATGACGAACACCTCGGCGAACTCTGGGCCGCCGTCGTTGGCGGCCACGCCGGCGGCGGCCGGCTCCGGCGCGCCTTGCAGCATCACGGCCAGCACCGTGCACAGGATCAGCGGCCCCCAGAGGTCCCCTGACGCCGGGCGAACGGCGGTCGGTTACACGCCGACAGCCGTAGGGGACCCACTCAAACACATGACAGGCACGAAAACCGCTGACAACAGAAGAATGCCATAGGGCTCCCAAAGCTCGAGAAGATGAAAACCACAATTTTTGAAAAAGACGAACCAGAAATCGCAACGGCACCCTTTCACGCAGTGAAAACACGATATCTGACAAATGCAGAAAAGCAATCAAACATTGCCAATCGATTTGGGACGAGCTGAATACCTTCAAAACGAGGCATTCTACTATGCAACACAAATATTCAACTTATTTCAAGATGATTCACTGAGTCAGCGCAATGCCTTCGAAACGAAATGCCAGTCGAATCGTGTCAAGTGTTTAATACGATGGCTTACATTCCTTTAGCAGTGCCTTCTTCTCCCGAGGGTACATAACGTGCCAAAACTTCGCTCCGACCGCCTTCAAATCACGCATCTGAAATGTCATATGACGTGGTTTACTGATATTGAAAAGTACTCAAACGCACAAAAAATGCTCCGTAGCCAAAGACAGATTATCAATTAGAAGCATACTGGACCGATGGATAAATGGGGTTTTTAGGACTACCAGTGAATAGTCATATGACAAACATGGCACACAAAACGTTGCAGACATTGGCGAAAACCAAGAAAAAACAATCATCTAGACACACAGTGTGCGTCGCCCGATATCTTAAATACGTCAGCACGTTAAACTGCGCGAGGCACGTTTGGCCAGACCGCAGCGCGCTCGACCGCCGCGCCAAGCAGTGGCCGGCAGCGGGCTCGGCGGCTCTCCCAGCACGCACGATCGTCTGTCGGATGGGCTCGTCCAGAGTGTTGTACTCCACCGAGCCGTCGGCGGCCCGGGACGGCTGGCCCGGCACGTTAATCTGGCCGCCGACGTCCGACGGATCCATGCTGGACTCCTCGTACATCTGCCGGCCAGAACAGCGACACAGCTCGTAAATCACGAGTAGTACGGATCAAAACAGAAAGACATGTTTTTGTCACTGTTACTGCCCACATGTGAAGCACCGGGCTGGTGCGTCGTTTTATTATCAGTCATATCGCACGCAAATCAGTAGGTAACGAAGTGCGTGCAAATGAACACTCAGTTCCATGTTCACACATATTTTGTCCGTCTCAATGTAAAATTGGCAGCTACCGATTTTCAGCCCCAGCTTCATGTCAAATCGGTAGGTACCGCACTACGCGCAAATGAACACTCGGTTTGATGTCCGTACATATTTTGTTCGTCGAAATGTAAAACTGCCAGCTACTTGTTTTCACCCGCAGCTTCGTGTCAAATTAGAGCAGCAGAGACAATTTGGGTCGTTTTTCATACTTACAATAAGGAGCTAACGATAGTTCTAGAAACTACTAACATAACAGAGCATGTGTGCCCGTCACGAATTAGTGTCCCGTATGGCTTTCGCTACTACAAGAGAACGATGGATGACGTCTGGAAAAAATTATGAGTCAATATGCTACATATTTGAGAAACACGAAGAACTGGAGAGCGGTCTATCTTGGACCTGATTAAACTCTGGATGAATATAATTGACTCAACCAGAGGACATTTGAGATTAAAATCAGAATTTGATTCAAAGTTGCTTCTAAAATGACAATTTGAATTAAACATTTGTTTGAGAAAATTGCTATATGTGATACTCACTCTGAATCTGAGCCAAGTCAATCATTTTTTAATCTGGGCCTCAGTAAAAGCTATTGGATTCAAAATAAATGCTGCCACATCAATGGGTAGCTCACATAATGTCTAGTTTTGGGCAAGGAGCACTTCATTACATCTTTGGTCAAGTATGATGATACTACAGCAAGGCTTGAGAGCTTTGATAGGATGTGACAGCACCAGATTCACATTACTCACCAGAAGGTCCACGCTCATCTCTTTTCCAGGATCAACAGCCATAATGCAGATCGTAGGACGATTGTAGCTTGCTTTGTACCCTTCTCTGTAATTGGGCTTGGCAAATGGGCTGTGAAAGAAAAAAAGATTACCAAATAAGAGCTGCTGATAAACTGTGTGCACTTGGTAATGGGTGTCTACAAGGAAGATACAAAACACGAGCAAGAAACAATTTTGATTTATATTTCAACAATGTTTGGCAGCCAATACACTACTCAGGTAGGTGACATCTCAAGTGTTTTGGGAGAAAAAATGGTGAACATTTCATCATCAGGTGCATATTGGTATGCTATTGTGGGCTGCAAACCCCTCATCTAGGACAGCTGATACTCACAAATTGTGAAGGTTTGGCAGGCATGCTTAGATTTATGGATTTAGATTACTATGATCCCAGATAAAAAAAATACCCATCTTGAGGAAGCCTCACAGCTGCTGAGCTTTGCCCCATCAAGACAATACAGACTCCCAAAAAATATTTACATAAACTGGAGAGCTGTGAGGCTGGAGAAAAATAGGACTATGGCTAGAGAACACCCAGATACAAGATGTTCTGAGCCATTCTGGTTTGTGTGGTGTTGCAATGACTTCAAGAAGCCTGACAGAAACCTTTGACACGGGTATGTGAGGCAACAGGGTTGTTAATCACTAGCAATGAGGAAGGCCCAATGTTCTCTGCAAACTCTTTGCCAGCATTTTCACAGATGAAGGGACTAGCCATTTTGTAAGACAAAGTCAAACTAAATACTTCCTGGAGAATGGACTCCTTCATGCCACCTGTGTTCCTCCAGACGAATTCCTGAGGAGCTCCTGTATGACTAGGAGCCAGTGGATGTGGAGTACTCAGACCTCAGAAAAGGTTTTCATTCTGTTTTCTATTACAGACCACATCACATATAAAGAAGCATGAAGAGCAGTCAACCTGGTTGAGGATGACATTAAGGTGTGTATCATGTTCCAAAGGATGGAGAGAGAAGAATTTAGAGAGAAGAAGAATAATTACATTGAGAATTTCTGAGGCCAACCAGATACTGATGGTGGTGAAGTGATCACTTGCCAACATTGATGATTTTACACTGTCAATGCTCTACATGACAATGGGATGTTAATTGCTTAGCATGATGACATCACCTGGGGTATATAATACAAGCTGCATGAAGAAGGGCTGGAGATGGTTCATCAATAACCTATGCATCTTGCCTGCAAAGTGAGGTGCTGGTCATATGTCAAAAGGCCTCGACTCCCCCAACCACCCTGGCTGTACCACTATCATTGCAGAAGAGACATGGTTGCAGTGCTCCAAATGTTTCAGACGGGTGATATGCCCCTGTGGTGGATAAATCCCAGACAAGAAACACCCCTTAAGTGACAAGAGGATGCCAAAGGAAGCTGTAAAACCTCAAGCTTAGACTCTTGTCCATCAGTACCTGATCAGCACCAATGTTGTAAATGACTGGAACACTTTCCCATCTGCACTGGTATTATTGACATCAGCTGAATGAACAGCTTAAACCTTGACTTGATTTACACTGGGCTGCATGCGTGAGATCCTATATTGGTGACTTCTCTTAAATGAGATTGTTTCTTAAATGAGATTGTTTGAGTACCTGGACCTGAATGGAAGCTTAGAGACCATGATCAACACACCAGCAGTATTTTAAGTTCCCATCACATCACAGGAGGTTTTGCCTGCCCAATATGGCAACCTAAGGCAAGAAGAAACATCATCAGTCCCTTACATTCAAAACTGGCACTATCAAAAGTACCTCAACCACCACCACCATCACTTGGTCATAACCAATGTTTGTCAATCAATTGATGGTTATGTGGTTGTAATGAAATATTATAATCAAAGGTCAAGGCATGAACCAACCCTGGAACACCACTGTGTTAAACTCAGACCAGGCTAAATTGCTATAGATTTTCCAAAAAAACATTGGCTGAAGAAGTGTAGGAAGTATTTTGCTTGAGACAAGTTACGCAACACCACAATTCCTTGAAACACTGGCACACATCATTGCCACACAAACATTGGTGCATAGAACTTGGTGGCAACCATGCTTGATGATGATGATGATATTGGCACTTAGGGGTGCACTGACAGCTTTGGCCACCATGCACCCATAAGTCGAAACGAAGTCAGCTATTTGCAGGGACATTTGTAGAGCAGAAAATCCTACTGCCAACAGCATATTGTTAGTTTTGTCAGTCTGAATGACAGACATGTGGAATAATGAGCCACACTGCATGGCTTTACATGGCATATCCCACTTATGCTAGGCATTATATGTCCGACTGGCACGTAGGTACTTAACACGCGGGTACACAAACCGTTCATGCCGACATGTTTATGCCAAAGCCTTACCCACGTACCTACAACATTTCTCACCTTTGCGCCAACCGACCCTGTTCACCACGGCGCTGCAGACCGCCTCGCCGTCACGGCAATACAACACCCTTGTCGTGTGCCACCGTTTGCCGACCAAAAATCCACTCCAAAGGCCGCCGAAAACCACCCCAGACAAACTACGATACAGCTTGGTAATTGGTTTCAGTGTATTGAAAGCTTATCGCAAATCCGAAAGGAACACTTTTGTGCGCAATGTTATGCCTCAATCATTAGGTCTGTCCAACATGGGCTAGAAAAGACTCATTGGTGGGAGGACTCTACCGTTTTCTGCTGCAGAATTTGGGCAGTCGTCTGAGCGAGCATTTCATTGGTCAGTACTGTATATCACGCCAAACGTTGGCGGCTTTTTTGTTATTACGAACAAATGGTCTACCGTGTAATATTTTTGTCTTTTCTTGAGTACCTTACATTTGTACCCGAGGGAGGGACTGAAAGGCCGACCAAGGCTGCTGACAGCCCCATGTTCCGAACCTGTGGTACTGTTGACGTGAAACCTTCACTATTCGATACCGCTTGGTCGGTAACCTATTCTTCGCAGAACGTGGTGACCTTGATCAAGCGAACGACCCCATGCTCTGAGCATGTGGCACCGTCCGGCAAGGAACCTTCACCACTCGACGCGACGTAGTAGATATACTGTCCTGTTCAGAACACGGCGACTTTGGGTCAGGCCAAAGGTCACCAAGAACGACCCGGACCACCAAAATTGGCCGCAGACAACATCCATGCTCCGAGCCTATGTCACCGATTACGGTGAAATATTCACCAATGGATGCGCCATAGTCGATATTCATTCCTTCTCGGAACACGGTCCTGGGAAGAATCGAGTTAGGTCAAAGGTCACCAAAACCGGCCAAGAGCACCAAAATTGGCTGCAGACAGCCGCATGCACAGAGCATATGGCCCCGGTTGGCATAAAACCCTCACCAATCGATGCGCCAGCCGATACCCTATCCTTTCCAGTACATGGTTACTTTAGGTCAGGTCAAAGGTCACCACAAGTACAGAAAAACGAAAAATATGGTCGCCGGCTTCCATTTTGGGGATCTTTGTTCTGCTTAAAGGTCACCATGTTCTGTGAAGGATAGGACATCGACTAAAGCCGTCGATTGGTGAAGGTGAAGGTGCCAAAGGCTTGGAGCATGGCGTCGTATGCAGCCAATTTTGGTCGTGTCAGCCGTTTTTGGTAGCCTTAGACCTGACGCAAATGTTCTGGTAAAGATAACTAATATGCCGACTATGGCGCATCAATCGGTGAAGGTTTCGTGCCAATCGGTGCCATAGGCTGGGAGCATTGCGTTGTCTGCAGCCAATTTTGGTGGTTCTGACCGATTCTGGTGACCTTTGACCTGAATCAGGGTCACCATGTTCTGTAAAGGGTGGGCTATCGACCAAGTAGCATCAAATGGTGAAGGTTGCATGTCAAACGGGGTCATTGGCTCGAAGCATGGGGCAGCCAACAGGTTTGGTCGGACGTTTAATCCCTCCCTTTGCCCGAGGATTCTGATCTCGCTGCACAAGGATATGAATGTGGAATGCATGCTTCACGACGGTGGGGATGAGGTTGGAAGACCCACCTATACACATTGATGTGAGCACGGCGTAAGGAGCGTGTTCTTCAAATTTCCTTAGAATAACATTTGCATTCTAAATGTTGCCCCGTAAGTGCAATTTTTTACATTGTATCATCCAATGACATTTTCGGTTAGTAATCTCCGCGGGTTTCAGGTTAGGTTGACCCTTCTAATCAAGTGTTGCCCTCCGCCCCCCCCCCCCCCCCCGCCAAACCGAGACTCAAAGACGGGGCGATTTGCATGCCGGTACAAACTATAACTGTTCACCAATGAGTATGTGCTTCCTACCCGGAGCGTAATTGCCACTGGAGTCGATGAGATTTGGACGCTACCTTTTGAACAGCTTGGGCTTTTTGGGATGCCACAGCAGCACCGTTCTTCTCTGGAACACGTCGGGATGGTGGTGGTGGTGCTGACGCATCATACCGTCAGTGAGGTCCGATTGGTCGGAGAGTCCATCCAGCGGCCCGCACAACGGTAAGAGCGCCAGATTTTGTCGTGCTTGAAGTGTGAAGCTGCTCACGCGACGCCATCAAAGATGGTGGCAGCGGTCAAGACCTGCTGGCCTTCTCCGTGGGCAACTCTGAGCCGCCGGGCAGCGCTCCGCCGCCATCAGCGCCGCCTACATCCAACGCACATTCGCGGCATCTGCATTTCGCCACATGCCCGTCGCCAGTTGTTATGTCTAAAAACAACCACCCACTTTCGATGTGCTATCCCGAGTCAACGTTTCTTTGGTACGATGTTCAGAGCATGCCTCCTGAGATTTCCCTTGTCATTGTCCGTTCTATGGGCTGCAAGAATTGAGCAGGCGAGCGAGTCGAAAATCGTCAGACATAGTTTATTCGAGGACATGCCTTGATGGAAACTCCCCGCAGACACCGACTTCCGTGCTTTAAACAACTTTTCAACACCAATAAAATAAACCCAAGTGATAACATCAGGTCAAAGCACGGAATGTTGACGAAAAACACTGAAAAGAACAGGTCACCAGGCGATAAATATGCAATTGTTACACCGCCAACGAGCACCTCAGCAAAACATACATGGATATTGATGTGCGCCCACACATTTTTAAAGTAGCTCTGACGCGTAACATCGGAATGTATGCGGTCGGTAGGCCCGACTCATCACCCCACCACAATACACACAATCTCGACGCATAAAACACAGACTCGGTAACCGTTAAAGCTCGCTGCCTCCGGATCACGTCGCATTTAGCGCACACAACACGAGACTTCATCACTGCCGGTATTGCGCTCGGCTTCACGATGGCCGGGGAGCGTGCGGTGCGCATTAGCTCCCAGACGGCCACCAGCCGCGCAGTCCACCACACAACTGGCCACTGTCCGCTCGGCTGGCGGCATCCGCACCCCCCCCCCCCGCGCCCTTCCCCACAGCTGCCATGATGTGCGACAGATCCAGCGGTCGGCGGTGACCTGCGACTGGCCCCTGCTGACGCGGCCCACCGACCGTCTCCGGCTGAGCGGGCGTCCGCTAGCTAAGCCGAGCCGAGCTGCGTCGGCATCGGCCGCCCGAAGTCACATCCAGCTCGACAGCCCGCCGCCGGCCACCTCCGGTTTCGCAGCGCCCGCCCGCGTCTATCGGTCATCAGCGGTCACTAACTCAGCAGATCGCTGATCTCGTTAGCTGACAGCTGTTTTGATTGCTGGGCGGGCGCGCCGCCGTACTGCATGGACGCCATGGCGCCAAGCGGCGGCCGCACAGCGCCCATGCCCAGACCGAGCGCCGGCTGGGGGCCGCCCTGAGCCCAGCCGGCCGGCTGGGAGAGCGGCGCGGGCAACGCCGGCCGGCCGAACCCCGGCGCGCCGATCATCGGGCCGCCGCCCGGCCGGTACCCGGGACCGGGGCCCTGGAAGGACTGGAAGCCGCCAGCAGAAGCCTGAAAACCGCCGCTGGGGCCCTGAAAGCCAGCATTCGAACCCTGAAAACCGCCGTTCGCGCTCTGGAAGCTTGGACGGGAGCTCTGGAACCCGTTAGACCCCTGAAAGCCGGGACCAGACACCTGGAATCCGGTCCTCGGGCCCTGGAGTCCGCTGCCCGAGCCTTGGAAGCCGGCGCCTGAGCCCTGGAAGCCGGCGCCTGAGCCCTGGAAGCCGGCGCCTGAGCCCTGGAAGCCGGCGCCTGAGCCCTGGAAGCCGGCGCCTGAGCCCTGCGGGCGGGCTTGCGGTGCAGCGGCCGCCGGAGGCAGCGCCATCATGTTCAGGTTGCTGCTGATGAGCGAGTCGGTGAGATCGCGCGGCCGGCCGTTCTGCGGCGGCGGCGCCGGCGATGGCGCCGATCCAGCGCCGGCGGCCGTCAGCGGCGCCTGTCCGCCCAGCCGGGCGGCCGCCTCCTGCTGGCGCAGTCGGCGCTGCTTCTCCTCGAGACTGAGCGGCTGCGGTCCGGCGGCGGCGGCGGCACCGGCGCCGGCCGTGGACGGCGCCCCACGCGTCGCGGGCGGCGCTAGACTCGGGCCTGACGTGAACTCGCCGATGCCGAGCTCGCCGAACATCTGACGAACAGTGACAGCGAAGTCAGCATGAGGCGGGCTGGGATGTACTGGGCACGACGTGGGGCGGGCGGGATGTGCTGGGCGCGACGTGGGGGGGGGGGGAGATGTGCTGGGCGAGACATGAGGCGGGCTGAGATGTGCTGGGCGCGGCATGGGGCGGGCTGGGATGTATGGGGCGCGGCCTAGGGCGTGGGCGAGGCACCGGCGGTCGCAGGGGGTGAACAGGCCCAGGCTCTTGACGTACGCCCCTCCCCCTCTCCCGACTAAGCGTCTGGAAGCGAAGCCGTCCGAGTCATGCTGCTTCCATCAAAACTACCCATTTGAAACGCAATTCGAATGCAAATACAGTTCACTGCCTGCTCCGTCGCACACCGCATCCCACGCCAGACGCTAGCGCAGTGGTCAATGGGATGATCAATATCAAGCGTGCGCCCCTATCTGCGCAGGTACGTCGAGGGCCGGCCAGGGTCGGCGAACCCCTACGTGACTTTGACCACCTGTGACTGCGCGACTCGGCAGGCGTTCGCAGTAGTTCGCAAGACCGGAGTGCAGGGCTGAGCGGCGCAGCCATCGCGTGAGACTGCCACCCGTCCGGCGGTCTCACCTTGTCCATGGCCGAGGTGGGACCGGCGGCCGCCACCAGCTGCCCGGGCTCCGGCTGCGCCAGCGACGCGTTCAGCGCCTTCCTGCAAAAGGCGCGCCCGCACCGTCTCACAGGTACTCCAGGACAGGGACAGCGCAATTGGGTGCTCATACGGCGAACGCCGCTTCGGGTCACGGGGACTCCTGGGCAGGGGTGGTCCGACTGGGTGCCCACACGGCCAGCACCGACCCGGGTCACAGGGACTACAGGACAGGGACCCGACAGTGGACAGGTTTTCCGACAGGGGCGGCCCGACTGGGTGCCCACACGGCCAACGATGTCTCGGGTCACAGGGACTCCAGGACAGGGGCGGCCCGACCAGCCAGGGGTGTCCACACGGCCAGCAATGTCTCGGGTCACAGGGACTCCAGGACAGGGGCGGCCCGACTGAGTGCCCAAACGGTCAACAATGTCTCGGGTCACAGGGACTCCAGGACAAGGGTCCGACAGGGGACAGG